GAGTGGAGAAGGAGACAGAAACAGTCAGACGTTTGTAAGTGGGAAGCGGGAAGACTGTCTTAAGAGATGATGCTGTGGTCACAAGCTCTATGGTGATTGATAATGAAGGATGAAAAATCATGGTAGATAATGACACCACATAGTAGTTTTAAATATCAAAGTTGAGCCTTTGCAAAATCTTTAAAAAATCTTTCATCATTCAAGATGTTTGCTGCAGACAAGCAGACTATGTAAGCTGTGCAAAATAAAGATTATTTATGTTGGAGAATTTTCAATGATAATATAGCTCCTACAGTACAAAAAATGGAACATCTTCCTTAGGCTATAGTGATTAAATTCTGGCATGCTTTTTACTGTTGACGGCCTGCTTTTCTAGTCATGAGAGATTATGCACTGTTACGTAACCCCCCAAAGGGCGTTAAAGTCCTGACCTTTGAATGTGAAAGTCCAGTACCTGTGCATGTGATCTTATTTGGACATACGGTCTTTGCAGATAACCAAGGTAAAATGTTAAAATACCATTTATTTCTGCTATTTTATTTAATAATTGATGTTATTTTCTGTAATAACTATAAGGTGAAAAAGCACCAGGAAAATGTCAATAACTAAGTAATAAAAGGAGTTTATCACTTACACCAATAAGACTTTTATTAGATTTAAGGTAGAAATCTTAGAAAACAAATGTCGGATTAGGGCTCACCCTAATGTGACTGTGTCCTTATTAAAAGGACCAATTTAGACTCAGAAAGAAATGTTCACAGAGGAAATACAAGGCAAAAACAGAGGAAGAACCCAATCTACAAAGTAAGAAACACTTGGGGCTACCAGAAGCTGTGCCAGAGGCCTGGAGCCTATTCTCTCTTACATCCCTCAGAAGGAACTTACCCACCTGTTACCTTGGTTTCTTATTTCTGGCCTCCCAACAATACATTTCTTGTGTAAGCCACATAATCTGTGGTACTTTATTCTGGCAAGCCTAGCAAACAAAACAGCAATCTGTTTAAAGTGCTGGATATTGTTAAAATGCATTTTATATTATTTAATAATTGATATTATTGTTCTGAAATGATTATAAAGTGAAAAAGTCACAGGAAAATGTTAATAATTAAGAAGTAGAAGGAATTGATCACTTACATTAATATGACTTCTATTAGGTTTAAGGTAGAAAACCTTAGAAAACAAATTTTTCATAATCTTATTTTTTTCATTACAAAAGTCATGTTTCATTGTTACATGTATAAACGACAGAAAAAAATAAAGAAATAAAATAAGCCATAATTTTCACTAACTAGAGAAAATTACTACAGTTATTGCATTGCTTTTACCTCCAGACTTTTAAAAACTATGTCTATGTCTACATCTATTCCTTTCTAGCTTTTCTGAAAAATAGTTTGAGCTAACTTTATTTTTAAATCAAAGGGTCACACAGAAGTGTAGGAGCTAACATGTGATTTTTTATGTGTTTTTTACAGAAAATACATAGGCTGTATACATAGGTAATATAATGAACAACTTATATTTTAAAAGCACGTGGGCCGTGCGCAGTAGCTTAGACTTGTAATCCCAGCATTTTGGAAGGCCATGGCAGGCAGATCATGAGGCTAGGACCAGCAAGCATGGTGAAACTCCATCTCTACTAAACATACAAAAATTAGCCAGGCATGGTGGCAGGCGTCTGTATTCCCAGCTACTTGGGAGGCTGAGGCAAGAGAATTGATTGAACCTGGGAGGCAGACGTTGCTGTGAACTGAGATCATGTCACTGCATTCCAGTCTGGGTGACAGAGCAAGACTCTATCTCAAAAAAAAAAAAAAAAAAAAAAAACCAAACCAAACAAACAAAAAGAGCAGAGTATGTAATTTCATGTTTGCATTGCCACTTGCCTTAAAATAGATATTTTTCAAAGCAGGGCGTGATACTATTACACACTGAAGTGTTTTATTTGGACCAGAATATAAAGCAATAATCCAAAGGTGGCCTTTATGAAATAGCTACTATTACTCCACAGAATGATGCTTTGTAAAATGGTTTATAAATACTGTATAAATGCTTTACAACCATAGCTTCAGAACACAAACAGGTGTCATGAGCCTGTACATCCAGGCTAAAAGGTGGCCTGATTGTGGTTGTTCCATTCCAAAGACTGTAAAAGATGCCAAGGAGTCACTAATAAGATAATTTCCTTTTAATATGTTTCTCAGAATGAAATGTACAAAATATACTAAAGTGGTCTTTATTATCACTAGCTATAAATATAGTAATTAAATGGTTCAATTTTGTTCCTTCAGAGCATGGTGCATTGACACTCAGTGTAGCTCATGTTACAGCCATGCACTGCACAAGATGTTCTGGTTAATATGAACCATATATACAACAGTGGTCCCATAAGATTTTAAACAATTTTTACCATACCTTTTCTATATTTAGACACAGTTAGAGACACAAATACTTAAAATTGTGTTACAGTTGCCTATAGTAATCAGTAAAGTTTCATGGTGTACACATTTGTAGTCTGGGAGCAAAGGAAAAACAGGTTATGTCAAATACCCTAGGTATGTAGTAAAGCTATACAATCTAGTCTTGTGTAAGTATGCTCTATGATGTTTGCACAACAATAGAATCACCTTATGATGCATATCTCAGAATATTTCCCCATCATTGACACATTACTATATATGAAGAATATATACCAATACTATATATTAGTGTATACTGTATAGATCCCTTGTATGTGAGCATAACCTGATAAAATACAGAACATTTGATTTGAATTTCAGATCAGTGAATAAATTATTTAAAATGTCTCATGCAGTATATTATTCTCTGCTTATGTAAAATTAATTGGGTGTCCTGTATTTCTATTTGCCAAATATGACAACTTAATATATGAATGAATAAAATCTTGAGATGTCATAAGTTAATATAGTACTATAGATACTAATATAGTATTACTATAGTACTATTAGTTTACAGTATATAAGTTTCTAGTATAGGTACTAATGCATTAGTATTATATATGTCATACGATATATACTAACATAGTATGAATATAGTACAATTATAGTATTATATAGTATTCCATTTGTACTATACTATATAGTAGAAATGTACTAAGGGAGTCAAATATTCTGTTTTATAAGGTTATTCTCACATACAAGGGGTCTTTATAAAACTGAAGCCCATACTTTTATACCTATTTCAGATTAGCTTTAAGATGTAATTTTCCGTTTAGGCAGGTGTTTGTAGTAGTCAAAGAGAAAATTTTTCTGCTTTAAACATCATGATGGTTGCAAAGAGAAATTGAATAAGTAAAATAAAGAAAAGGAGA